ATTTTTTTTTTTTTTTTTTTTTTTTTTTTTTTGTAATATAAATTGAGCTTATTTCGTTCGTTTTTTGTTGTAATTTGTGTTTGTGAAACCATTACAAGCGGTGGAATAAAGAAAAAAAAATGTTGTGGCGCCGTAAATAAACAAAGTCGCATTTTCCTTGATTTACTTCACGCATTTCCACAATGCATTTTATAACTTTAATGATAAACAACCACGAACGGGCGCGCGCTCGTGTACATACATCTTCTGCCATCCTCCAAATTTATTTTCATTTTTATTACAAAATGCTTCTAGATTTTGTTTTGATTTTGTGTGTTGTTTATTTAATATGATTTTCATTTTTATTGGACACAAGTGCCAAGTACTGACGCTGATGGATGTAAGAAAACAGATGCGTATCAGATGCGCTGTGATCAATTTTTCTTTGTTTATTTACTTAAGCTAGTGACGCCGCTTTTATCTTGTGGAATTTAATTTGCATTTTTTTATTGTTACAAACTTGAGGTGTTTGTGTGCGTTTTTTTTTTTAAATATCGTTTACTAAATAAATATTTTATTTTCAACAGGCTTTGGGTACGGACATCCAAATGGATTGCATCCGTTCATGTTGAATCCGGGTTGGCTCGATGCAGCTTACATGAGCTACGCATTTCCTGAATATTTCCGTCAACAACCACACAATCCACAATTTGCAAAAGGTAAATATACACACTCGCACATAATCGTGTGATTGGTATTTATATATTTATGTAGCCGACAAAACGAATCGATTTTTCGGTTTTGTTGGGCAAACAGAATTAAAAAAAAGTAATCAACAGTTCAGTTAAATTCGAAATATTTTTCGCGACAAAAATATCCACAAACAAACCAACCAAACCGGCGATCTCCAGACTAGACCATTACGATATATGAATTCAATCATATATCAAGCGTGAAAAGTACACATTTTTTGTGGCTCACATTTCCACTTCAATTGCATTTTTTTACAGCTCTCGCTCTCCATTTTACAATTACAAGCGGTTCATTTTTGTGTGTTAAAAATAGTATGAATATAATGCATTTTTTTGCACCATGCCACATATAATCATTTAAATCCAGCTTGGGTCACATAAACACGTAGATGTCCACGGTCAAATTGTGGACGGATGCTTGTTCGTGTGAAATACGCTAGTTGACCACATCAATATCATCTTTTTGCACATTTTGTGTCACTCGATATTATCACTGCAACGCTGCACTTTCAAACAACGAATCCAAACGCGCCATTCAACGAAGAAATTAAACAGTTCTATCTCTATCTCTCTTTCTCCCTCTCTCACTCTTGAATTTTGCTTTTTAATCCGATACGTGAAAACAAACCAACATCTCGTTTTTTACCGTTGTTCCGCTGCACTTTGAAGAATTTTCCCGAATAATCGATTAAAGTCCAGTTGTGTAGCACCATTGTTTGGTGTCCACTTTGCTTTTTGTCCACAAAATCTATCGCCCATAATAGGATTAGCATTAGCAATAGAGCTGAAGCTTGCGAACACATCTGAGCTTTATTTTTAATTTTTTTTATTGGCCCGATCGTTTCGAAAAATCTTGACGACACCTCACACAAGAACCTACTAGATGTGTTTGTAATAAATTTAAATCGAATGTGTGTTTGTTTGGCCACCATTAATTTCCCCGAGTGAAAAAACCGCACATTTTTCGGATTAAAAGTTTGTTTGTCGCGTTGAAGATAACGTGACTCGAAGCCGCTCATTCATTATCGAGAATATTGCCAAAAGGTTTTTTGTCGTTAATTTTTTCCATTCAACTGCCAATAAATTACTTTGTGTTATACACACTTTTTTTCCCGTCAAAATGCAACGGATAAAAAGTGTGCGAGTCGAATGAACGTTGATGTTGGACGAAAAATGCCAACATCGATAATAAAAACAAAGCGTAGGAAACCAGCAACAACGACACCATTCATGAACAAAACAACAGCGAAAAAAGTTCGGAATCCGTATGTGCCCCTTTTGAATGTTTTCGCTGTACACATTTTTTTTTTGTCACTCATTTGTGTGCACACTCTTTTCCTCGGGATCGTGTCCACGTTACAATTTTAATCATTATGAAATTCTAGTGATATTGGCATGTGTGGTGTTTGGCTGGTGTGTTATTGAATATATTGAATCCCATTGATCGGACACAATAACGAAATAACATTCGATGGTGGTTTTCGGCTTGTAATTAGCAAAACCCGGCCTCGAAACGCATGGAATGGTGTTGTTGTGAGTGAGTCACATCCATGGTGTGAGGCATATGCACACAAGCAAACAAACATTTTGGAGGCCCGTACACACACAAACGACCCATGTAGAGGTTTTATTTTTCAATTAATTCTTGTGTACGCTCACAAACGGTGTTCAATACTCACACTTCACGACGTGATTGGCAAAAAAAGCAGCAATCTTTTTTTTTTGCAGCACGTTAAAATATTACATAATGCGATTGAAGCGGTGCAAGCAAAAATTTTGCGTACTGCAAAGAGAGAAAGAAAGAAAGAGAGAGAGCGAGCGAAAAAAAGCCGATTGAGTCTATCGATTTGATTATGTTTTTTTTTCGTTCTCTCCAGCGAAAACAAATGTTTTGTTTCGATGGCGATGCTGGCCGTATCGTTGGATGCCAATCAATTTGAGCACACATTCGTTTTAAAGGTGTCGTAAAATTTTAATGTGTTTGAACTTTAACGTATTCTTTTTTTGTAGTTGTTGTTATTTCACTTTTGCTCCCTGCCATGAAAACTGGCAAATTAAAAACTACCCAGAAGCGAACGTTTGTTTTTGATATCAATCGCTAAGAGAGCCAAGCTAAAGAATCCACTTTGAAATTCAAATAGTCGACGACGCTCACAAGGTTTTTATTTTGATCTCGTCATGTTTCTATTTCGAGAAAATAAACGGAAAGTCGTGTTAAACAAAGCCAAAAGTTTCTCCATTATTGACTTCGTTTATGTGTGAAAAACTATTTTGCATTTTTTCTTCATTAAACTCAGCGAAAAACAAACACACCAAATGAAAACAATCAATTTGCATGCATAGACGCCTTTTTCTCATCTTTTTCTCTCTGTGGATTTTCTACTTTTTAAAACGTATTTATTGGTTTTAACGTGCACCGAACACCATGTTTGAGACAACACACAGCCACATGTAAATATTGGCCAAATGGCGGTTCGACAGCAATTTCCACATCGATGCGTGTTATCTTTTGAATAAAAAGTTTTCTTTTCGCAACAGATCCTTTGATCTAATATTTAGAGTATTGTGTCCAGTATGCACAAAATCAATACATCACTGTGCTCCCTCTTTGCATTCGCTTTTTGTCTTTTTTCGATAAGTTTTTCCTCATCGAATTTCTAATCTGATTTCAGATCAAATTACACTCATATCGTTCGTCTCAGCTAACAACAAAAAAGTATGCGGTACCATAAGCATACATCAAAATGCATTAAATGACACGAATCCCTTGGTTGCTTGCCATATACATATTTCTTTTTTGTTGTCAATTGATTGGTGCAGTAGCATTGGTAGACGCCACTGTTGTTTTCGTTATCTTGCGCGTGTCAAATGTACCGAACCGAGGGGTGTCAAAAGAATTACAAGCCCAAATCTATTTTGAAATACATGCGACGTCCACCCGTCGACTAAACACAACAACCAAGACTAAAATCTCTCGCATGCATCCAACAACAAAAGAAAATCTGAATAATTTTGTAACAATTTTCTTCGGTGTCGTTTTTCATCCTCCACATAAAGTTTGGCAGCGAGGGTGACGTAACCGTCTATAAATGTCTGATTTTGGCAAATGGCGAGGGGAAGTATTGAAAAGATGATGATTTCAATTTTACCAAGAAATTATATTAGCGTTGCTCTTCCGCATGGGGATCATTGATATTTTTTTCTCTCGCCACTCGTAAACAGTTTCGTTTTTTCCTTCGCTTCAAATGTTTTATTCCATTTGATCTTGTCAACTCGGCGTACGCATTCATGCACTTTCTCAATGCTACAAAATGCTAAATAATTGAATAAAATCTGTATAATGTGAATAAAATGAGTTCGTATGTTTGTTCGAATGAAAACATAAAAAATGTCGAAACTTACTTAAAACCAGTCGAAACGAGGAATAAATAATTAATCAATACGTTTTTTTTGTTCATTTCAGTATCGCCAACATTACCAGGATCCGTACCAGCCACAGTATTGCCACCAACACTGGGCAGCGAATTCAATCCAATGCAAACAATGGCACCAACTCAACCAACCATTCTTTCAACACATTCAGCCACAATAATCCCGCCACAACCAGCCACAGCCGTGAGATCGGGTGCATATCTTCCATCACCATTCCATCCGTTTGCTCATCCAGAATTATTATGCAAAAATCCATTTTTGCCATATGATTTGGCCGGTTTGCGTAGCATTTCAATGAATGGCCGTCCCATTCATCATCATCTCCAACACAACACAAGTCTACCATCTGAATCGTCTGTAATATCAAACCGAACGCCCGAACTTTTGAGCACATCACGTTTATCACCCACCTCATCACGACCATCATCATCGAGCCCACCATCATCGCAACACAGTGATGTCATCAAAAATGAATCGGAAGAATCGGACGATGAACAAATCGACGTGGTGAAGTCCGCATTTGTGCCAATTTTAAGACCAAACCCGGCCGCCCATTCAATCATTGGCATTGCCGATTCAACAACAATCACCGATCAAAGAGATACAAAAATCCGTTGCGATTTGAAAGCGCCATCATCACGAAAACCCGTCCATGAAACCGCACCAACCGGTCCACGATCACCTGAAACCAAAATTAAAACACCGATTAGCGCACAAAAAACCGTATGGCGACCATATTAAATATAAATTAATGGCAACAAGAACAATTGTGCAGGACATAATTAATGAATCTGTGACCGCGTGCGTGCACACTCTTTATGTAAATTGTATTTCGGTCGATTCGAGGCATATGGTACACAAGCAGGCAGCAAAAATAACAACATCAACAATTTTAATCGATTCGGTCGGCAATGGATTCATTTGGTTGATTTTTTGGTGTTTTATTTGGACGCGCGGTTGTTGCGACGAAGAAAAAAAATCATTTTTTTTTTTGCTGGTTACGTCGCTCAACAAATTGCAACTACCGGGAAAAAATGTTTGGCGAGTCTAATGAATAGATAAATGTACATATAATTTAAGTGCAAAAATTAATTTTCGATTCGGGGACAGAAGGCAACAGTATTTCGAATGGTGTTATAAAGTATGTGTGCAATTTTACAGGATACGTGTTTTTTTGCACTTCATTCTCTTGAAAAAAAAAGCCACTTGCATATTGCATTTTTTTGTGTTTAAATGTACTTTTTTTGTTCAGTGTATCATGTAACATAAATAGTTTTAAGTGATAAATCACAGAATTTTCAACATCATTTGGGCTTTAGCGATAGGAATATAGTCAGTCACCTCTAATTGAATACTTTCAATTCTTTCCAAACATCTAACCATCCCCCCGATATATATATATATATTATCCATGGCCTGGAAATGCCTATGTAATTTACATATAAACGAGTGAGACTCAAACATGTTCTTCTTTTTCCATCAAATTTACCAGTGGCGCCACCAATTTTACATATAAGCGCATACAAAATTTTCAATATGGCTGCGCCCATGAGAGAGAAAATTTCGTCTCATTCATTTCCGCCCCATGATATTATCGTATATGTATTTGTATAAATGTGAAACTTAATTGGATTAAGCTATCTTCAAGAAGAGAAATCCTTTTGTTTTTTGATTCAATGTAAATAAACAAAAATTTTAAGCGAGATTTAGGTGGCACTAATTCGGTCGAATATTTGTTAACTAGATTTTAGTAAATTATATTCTCTATAAAATATATTTTTTATTTTTCGAAAAACATGGTAATGAGAAGATGAAAAAAAACCTAGTGAAATAGACTCACACACACATATATATCTAAAAAGAAAAAGAAATAAAAAGAATATATGGCGGAAAAATTTCAAAACAATAAAAGTATTCGTTGTTTTAATTCTTCTTGTTTGTCCTTTGAAGGTTTTTTTTTTATTTTAGGCGCAATAATATTGACATCTAAATGTCATTGGTAAATTACTATATTACAGATTTTGCATTCAAAAACGTTTAATTTGAATTATTTGTCTTTGCTGTGCTCTTTTCTTTATTCGATGGGTTGAGTCAAATTCAACGGGCAAAACCGTCTCGTACAGGAGGCCGGGACTAAGTTAGCATAACATTTTTCACGAAGAGTTTAATTTTGCTGTGTACACTTGTTGTGAAACCTTCAAAATTGCTCGATTGATGAGGCATACCTCCATATTTGGCAATGAAAAAAAAAACCATGTTATCTGGACTAATTTTTCACGAAGAGTCTGAATCTGACCTCAGAAATGTATAATAGCTGATGTGTGTTCATAGAAATTTCGATTTTCATGCAATCCAAACCATATATTTCATCTACATATAAAAATTGAGTGAGGAGTGACAGATGGGCACGTGGAAAAAATTGTCAGAACAAAAGTTTCTTATCTTGACATCCTCTATCTAAAAAATAAAAATCGATCCACCCTAATTTATATTCAAAGAGACACACTGGTGAGAAAAAATGTTTTGATCGTTTAATCGAAAAGTCTCTTTGTATACATTAGAACAACAATGAATGCGCGTAAAGATGCGTTAAATAAGCACTATTTGCAAAATATCTGTAGATATGTATCTATCTGTTTTTATTGTATGAACTGGGTTTGGTATATTGTAAAAATTGCTGGAAGATAGTATTTTTAATCATTTTATTTTTTCAAAACCACCCCCTTTTCCTCCGGAACGATTCTTCCCATACGCCGAGTAGTTGAAACTGAGAATTCCAGGTAAAAATATAACTTACACGATAAGAGACTGAAAACACAAACCATACATAGCAATATTGTTTGTTCCTTGGCTCTTCCTCTCTTCCTCAACCTTGCAACATGCCTTTCCATACCAAACGAAGCTAGTTTGTGTTCTCTTTCTCTTGTGCTATAAAGGGGACAAGCGAACGAAAGAGAACGCCAATATGTGTGAGACTTGTGTGTGCCGAGAATGTTTGTAGTTCAATAGAAAATTGAAGTTTAGGTATTGAAAGTCGCACAATTTTACAAATCAGTTCGATCTGAGATCTTGCGTTGAAAGCACATGTGATCTTCTTAAATATAACGTTTTTTTTCGAAATCAGTTGGTATTTTTTTCCACGTGAAATACGATCAATTTTTTGAAAATTTTAAAGAAGTTTTTATACGATTTGGACAAAAATAAATAAAGAAAAAAACACATTTACTAAACAAAATATTTTAGTAAAAATATTGCAATTCGTTTTTAATTTGCAATAGACCTTAGTGCTTTTGAAAAAAAGAAGAAAAAAATAAATAATATTCAAAATGCAGTTGCAAGCAACACAATCATCGCCATCAACAAACAGCACCACATCGTCGTCACAACAGCAACCACAATCACAAAACGAATCAAACATGTTGAATGATATGTTTCCAAATTTATTGAATGTGTTGACAGAATGTCACGGTGATTTGGTTCAAACTGGTTCGCCAATGATTCTATGCTCGTCATTGCCACCACATTGGCGCAGCAATAAAAGCCTGCCATGTGCATTCAAAGTGATTGTACTCGACTACGAAATTCCCGATAATACAGAAGTTGTGATTACAGCCGGTAATGACGAAGATTGTAATCCAAAATTGAAAAATAATACAGCCGTTTTGAAAAACGGTGTTGCTAAATTCAACGATCTTCGATTTGTGGGCAGATCAGGACGTAAGAAATTATTTTCCGTTGTAATCACAATTCGTTCATCGGTCAATCAACAAACTATGACTACAATTCCCGAACAAATCGCCACATACGACAAAGCAATCAAAGTCACAGTGGATGGACCTCGCCAGCCAAGAAGTAAGCAAAGTAAGTTTTTTATTTTTTTTATTTGGGATGTATGTTTGTGAAACCATTAGAAAAAATGTTGTCTCGCAATAAATAAACAAAGCTGCCTTTTCCTTGATTTACTTCACGCATTTCCACAATGAATTTTGTCATCTTTTTATTTTTCTTAAGATTCACTTTGTTTTTGTAAATATCGTTTACTAAATCAATATCTTATTTTCAATAGGCTTTGGATACGGACATTCGAATGGATTGCATCCATTCATGATGAATCCAAACTGGCTCGATGCAGCTTATATGAGCTACGCATTTCCCGAATATTTCCGCCAACAACCACATAGTCCGCCAAGAAACGTACCAGCCACGGTACTGCCACCAACAATGGCATCAGCCCAACCAACCATTCTTACGACACATTCAACCACCACAATAGTCCCGACGTCACGATCGGGTACATATCTACCATCACCATTCCATCCGTTTGCTCATCCAGAATTATTATACCAAAATCAATTTTTGCCATATAATTTGACCGGTTTGCGTAGCATTTCAAATGGCCGTCCCATTCATCATCATCTCCAACACAACACAAGTCTACCATCTGAATCGTCTGTAATGTCAAACCGAACGTCCGAACTTTTGAGCACATCACGTTTATCACCCACCTCATCACGACCATCATCATCGAGCCCACCATCATCGCAACACAGTGATGTCATCAAAAATGAATCGGAAGAATCGGACGATGAACAAATCGACGTGGTGAAGTCCGCCTTTGTACCAATTTTACGACCAAACCCGGCCGCCCATTCATTCGTTGACGTAACTGATTCAACAACAATCACCGATCAAACAGATGCAAAAATCCGTTGCGATTTGAAAGCGCCATCATCACGGAAACCCGTCCATGAAACCGCACCAACTGGTCCACGATCACCTGAAACCAAAATTAAAACACCGATTAGCGCACAAAAACCCGTATGGCGACCATATTAATTATAAATTAATGGCAACAAGCACAATTGTGCAGGACATAATTAATGAATCTGTGACCGCGTGCGTGCACGCTCTTTATGTATAAAGGTGAAACTTAGTTAGATTAAATTATTTTGAGGTGGAGACATTTTTTTTTTCATTCAATGTAAATAAACAAATAATTATATATTTTTTTTTATTTTTCAATATTAATGGTAAGGAGATGAAATTAGTGAACATGTATATACATAAAGAAAAGAATAAAATAAATGAGAGATAATGACGAAAAAATTTCCAAATAATAAAGAGCATTTATTGTTTTTATTCTTCATTGAGTTTCAGCTTTGCCTTTGTCGGTTCAACATATTTTGTCATTCATGTTCAACTCCGATTCAGTTTGCTCATATAATTTATTTGTTATTTTAGGCATATTAACAATGAAATTCTAAACGGCATAAGTAAATTATTATTTTACACATTTTCCGTTCATAATTTTTTTTTATTTGAATGAATTGAATTGTCTTCACGTTCAATGTTCGTTGCCTTATTGAACAGGCTAAATTGAGCTGAAATGTGCAGAAAACCAGGTAAAAATTTGAACGCAAAAATGAGATTCAAGAACCGAAGTGCAGAGAAAGTAATATACTCGCAATAAAAGTGTGTAAATAGTACCTTACACTTTATTACTCTTTTCCGTTGTCCTTTTGCTTGTGCCATATTTGCAACATTGCAAATATTTTTGCATTTTTGCAAAGTTCGTTAGATTCTGTTGCAAAGTTAGTAAGGTCAAACGATTCTTTAGTTTGAGTTGTTCTTCAATCCCGAAACCAGTTGAATCGGTCACATTTTTGGTGCGATTGGTATGAAAAATGTTCGTAACGAATCTTTTAAACAATTGAATCATGAACATATTCAACGATCAACAATCTTTATTCAAAACTTCAGCAAAGTATAAACACTGCCGATACACATCAAACAAATCATCAAAAAAAATGATTATTGTTTTCGTAAGATTACCATAAACAACAGAAATTCAATGGGTTTGAATGATTTTTCCCGTTGAATGATTTTTTTCTCTTTCAACTGGAATGTACGCATATAAAATGCGGCAATATCCGGAGTTGAGCGATTGATTGAAACATTAAATTATCCAAATCGAATAGCTTGAGAAAAGGTTTAACTGGCCATAAATCAGTTTCGTATGTCGCTTTGTTCTGTGCTACATTATGAGTTAACAAACTAGGCCACAGCACTATATATGCTGCCCATTTAAATTGTACTATTTAGCATGCACCGAAAAAATTTACATAAAATTCGATACTTTCAATGCAATTTGCATTAAAAGTAATGTAAATTGTTGAAAATACCTTTTTTATTTTTTTCAATGCAAAATACGAATGTTTGCAAATTAACATAATTTTTTCGCTTTTGAAACCTGAGAATTTTTTAAAAGTCTTTTGAAATGATGATTACTTCATGCAAAAAAGAAGATTCCAATTCAGGTCAATATTGTAACAGAATGGGCTTCAATCTCAGCTCTTTATTTGAAAATGGTAATGCGAAATTTATTTTTTTCGTAATGCGAATCAAAAATCAAAATCAATAAAGGTTTTCTCATCGAAGAGTGTGCATGTTGTGAAACGTGCATAAATTTTCAATTGATTCACCGTATATAAAACATTTGCAATATAAAAACGGCTTAAAGGCCTCAACGTTCGTCAATATTTACCCTCAATTCAACAATTTATAATAATTTGTGTTTTATGTATCGTAAAATTGAGCTCCTATGAAAATTAAGAGAGGTACAGAGAGAGAGAGAGAGAGCGGAAGAGAGAATGAAAGCGAAAAAGGATATTTTATTCGTATGCTTGTTAGGTAATATTGAATATGTATGCAAACGCAGTTGAAAAAAAATACACCATCGTTTTCGTATCCATCACAACCAAAGTGCATTTGCTTGAACACTGACATACCACATTATTATGCCATGTTTATCAAACCGTCTATTCAACAAATTCTCCTCTCCTTTCCACTTTCTCACTCCCATCGTTTCTCGCTGTTCGTTCGTTTACAACCACGAATTTTGAAAAGGGGCAGCGGTTGCCGATTTTTCCCATTCGCATTTGATATGCAAAGTGGTTTTACATTCCATTTTCAGATAAAAGTTCATGTCACTTTATCGTTGCGCATCGATTACAAATTGGCATCAATTGCTTTATATTCGTATTATATGCTCTTCCGTGAAAATGGGCCTCTGAAGTATGTTTTAGACTATAAAGCCAGACTATTACAGGCGATAAAACGCACTCTTCAAGCTTGCGACTCAGAAGGTCGCATACCATTTTTTGACATTATTTGATTTTCAAACGAGATTAATTTGTGTAAATGAGAATAAGAAAGGCGCGCGTGAATATTCACGTAATTTAATATGTTTCAAAAACTAATGCTGTATGTATATACATAATGACAGGCTCAGTTAAAACGAAAAAAAACAGGGGCATTTAAAATTTGTCACATTTTTGAGTTCGGCTGAATGCATTGCAAACAGAAAAAAGTGCACATTAACCATTTGACATGGTTGACGCTCTGAATCGAATGATGATGCACGCGGTTTGATGAAAACTCGACAACAACGACACAAAGACCATTTCCGAACTTTCTAAAGTGAAATGATCGTTGATTTATTAAATTTCATTTTGGAAAACTCCCTTCGAATTGCATTTTGCACAATTTAAAATTCGACATGCACATTTTTTTATTATTGCTACCATTGTGGGGAATGGCGTCGAGAAAGCCGTTAAATTACTCACACACAATGAGAGAGACGCATACACATACGTACACTCAAATACCAAATGATTTTTCAACAATGATGAACAGCAACAACACCAACAATCACATTTTTCCTCTGTTTATCTACTAATTAGCGACAGAACGGAGAGTTAAAAACCATTTCACCTCTTGCATTTTACCGTGTTGATGTGTGGATATATTTTATTATTATATTTTTGCTCATTTTCGACGTAGATTTCACTGCGGCCCATCCAGTATGTTATTATTGCAACGTTGTCATGGCTTCGGTAAGCCATGAAGCAAAAATGAAAAAAAAACTCCGTAACCAAATGCCATACGATGAGACAACCGAAACGAATGATGTTCAAAATTAAATTAGCAGTACCTTACACTTGCGCAATTCCAACCATTTATACTACGGTTTTTTTGTGTTCGTTGCATTCGTTGTCTTTTTGTATTTTATGAATGCTTTTTTGGCCAGAGAATCTGGATTTTGAAGGGTACTTTTTTCGGTGGTGATGCTCATTTCGTACATCACATGAGATTTTAAATGGTGAAAAATTGTGTGTGTGTGCGTTTTTTTTTTCTCTACATGTTTTGTGCACAAATTCTGTCTATTTACATTCTCATTATAATCATCGTTATACGTTATGTATTCAAAAAAAAGTGTTAAAGTAATGTTTGACAATTAAAATGTAGCAATTAAAATTTCTCAAGAACTGTTATACTCTCAAGTGTTTAACGTACATTGTCCTCATCTCGGCATAATCTCAAGATTTTTTCTCGTCAAATACCTAACACACCGTTGATGTTTATTCAAATACACAGTCACAATGTGTGGCTGCGTGTTGATGGTTAACGTGTCGAAATTGGTATAACTTATAAGTAAATATGGTATGGTGTTTGCATTTGATGGCAACCACCGCTCACAAAAGTAACGGATTATTTATTTTGATTGACCGGTGTGTAGCCGACCAAAGGCAGAGGGGTCCATTTGCTTGAATGGGAGTCATTTGGTTGTGATTTCACTCTTGACGCGTTGAGAGGGACACTTTGGATTTCGTTGCAAACTGTGACGATGTTAAGAATAATTGGGACCTGTTTAACGCATGACTGACATAGAAGTATCACAATCATTCATCAGCTTCTTCAACCAGACTCACATACGCGCAATAACACATCAAATGAGAGCAAAGCATACGTTTTGGGTATTCGTTTCAGCTCCAGTTCGTTTAACAAAAGCAACAACAACAGCAACAGCATGTCAATCTTGTCGCATAGCATTTTTGACGAGGTAGAAATTTAGTGCCATCGAATTGTGACATATTTTGGATTGAAACAGTCAGAACAAAAGGAAAAGATAGAGAGAGAGTGGTATATTGAATAATTCCCTTTAAACTTCACTGATTATGGAACACAATGCCACATTATTTTCATGGGGTAAATTATGTACACACGAACGCCAAATTATATGTGAATGCAAACTGCTGCATACACACATAGCTACCAGAAATGAGAGAGTAAAAAAAGGAAGTTGAGCATTGGGAGTGAGAGAGGTTCGGATAAAAAAACACACACACACAATCAACCAACACAATAAAGAAGAGAAAGAGAAAAATAGCAGGAGCACGAAAAAAAATTGGAATCTGGTCAAACAAAAGATTCACCGATGCACGAAATTCGATGAAATGTGACGCGCTCTTACTTACCGAATGATTTTTCACTCTTTTACACCGAAGCACATACACACACACATACTCACGACTCCATTCACCAAAATATGTGTGCGCTTCACAAATGAATATTTACTTTCCTCATATTTTGCCGTGCTGAACAACGGGCACTGAAAACAGTTTCTGCATGTGTTTTATGTTTGTTGTGCGAATTTTTGCGTCTGCTTGTGCCCTTTTTTATGGTTCACATATTTATAACACATTTTTCGAGTCGAACGCGCTATACTTTCATATAGTAATGTTGAATATGAACAACAACAAGAACAACACATTGGCAGCAAATAAACATACGTGCACACAGTTTTTTTCTCGTCTGTATGTCAAATTCGTTGTCGTTTGAATTACGATTGCTGCTCAAGCTAAGGGTGCAAATAAAATTAGACGCTTTTTGTATGCACTGTTGTCAATGGTCGGTGGGTTCCTTTGAATTACACAAAATATTTGCTCAATTTCGCTGCTGGAAGTTCTCGACTCGTCTTCATGCCGGGACACACGCATACACATTTCTCGCATACTTTTTTTCGTTCTCTTGTTGAGATTCTTGGTGTCGAATTTTTAAATCGTACCCCGAACGAATTTGTGTTTGCTTAAATTTGGCCACATTTTCTTCTCTCTCTCTCTCTCTCTCTCTCTCTCTCTCTCTCTCGCTATTTCTTTCATTCGATAAATTGAAACTATCCGCAT